ACAATTATCACTTCACAAGTGGCCTGCCCGTGCCAACCAAATGGAGAGTCTCCTCACGCGAGGTGACAATTGTACTAGTGACGGCGCGTCACTTCACCTCATACACCCCGAAAGAATATGCCTGGAAGTCACTTTTATTATGCGAGTCTCGTGACTCTCTCTCTCTCTCTCTCTCTCTCTCTCTCTCACAGGTGAGGTGACAATACGCCCAAAGTTCTTAATGACTTAAAAATGAAAAAGAAGAATCGATATGATGATGGTATTTTTCCTCTATAGGATGTCCCAGAAAGTATAAGCACAGTTTAGTATTGGAATAAAATAACGTTATGTTAATGAACTCAAATTTTTGTTTCATATAGGGTAAATGGATGTAATGTCGGCCTAAATGCCACTAATTTGGGCTCATACTTAAATTCGACAGCAATCGACTAAATTTTCAATAGCAACCAAAAATATTCATTAGTACCCTCCCAATGATGCGTTCACCTAGATAAAATTGATAAATAGCAGATTTTTAGCGATGGGCCCAATATTAGATTCATAGGCCAACATTAGAGATATTTCTCCTATATGCTCTCTGTAGTATTTTCTTTCAATTATATGAAAATAATCTGCACTTCCCTTAATCGTATTCCAAGGAGCGAACTTTTGATCTGACGCTGCCCATGAGCTTCAGCAAAGATTCCATGGCGATAATTTTGGCCACTTTGGTCCAGTCTTTTTTTTTAATTCTTCGATTGAATTGACGGATCATGGGGCACTCACATGTCGCTTGCCAAACCATGGCCTTCTTACCAAATTTTTCGGTAAAAATTGACTTATCGGCATCGTCAACTTCCTGACCATTACGGACTGTGTTGTATTGGTCTCCCGGAAAGCGGGACCCACAATACTGCGTCACCGTCAACATTGACGAAGGGGTTCGTCCGTCAAATGACTGGTGTAACGCATGTCAAGTTGCTTTTCCACCGAAATCTTTACTTGGCGACTTCACATTGACGCTGCGTCAGTCCATCAATTTTGATCAGAGTCAAATTTGACACTGCCGCGACGGTGAAGCAGCTTTGTGGGTCCCGCTGAAGCGTCTTGTAGTCAAATCTGACACAAGCCAATTTTCCATACAGCAGGCTATCATATACCGTATGCGTGATAATGTTTGCACCATCGTACAAATAAGGTTCCCGTTTCACCTGTGCATACAATGCCGCGTTTCTTTGCATGTACGTAACCAATAGCTCATACCGTAGTAGGCTGTGTATAAAAGAAAATGATTTACTTAGTTTGACAGTTGCACCATGACGAAGTGGCAGCGTATTCGTGATTTGTCCCACGCGCAAAAGAAAGGAAAAGAAAGGACAACTATCCGCGAAGGTGGCCACAGGTCTTCCGAGGTCAGCTCGGGTTCCGAGGGTTATCGCTGCTATTAAAAGGAAGATTCGGGGGAATCCAGTGCGTTCAATAAGGAAAATGGCAAAGGAACACGGGATCAGTGACTTTACGGCACGGAAGATCGTAAAGGAAGATTGCGGGGCAAAGTCGAGGGCAAGGAAAAAAACTCACATGATTACCAACCGCATCCGGGAGCTACGAGTCGAATGATGCAAGAAAATCTTGAACTTCCTTAAGCGAAAAAATCCGGTAATCCTGTTCACCGACGAGAGCATGTTTACCGTCGATCCCGTATCAAATTCCAGAACCGACCGGTATATTAGTTCTCTTCCGGTAAAAGACGTGGCCGACGAGCACAAGAACGTGTATCTGACCAAGCATCCTGCTAGCGTTATGGTGTTTGGATTGGTGGCTTCCGATGGCAAAAAAATTGACCCGGTGTTCATTCCAGAAGGCGACAAGGTCAACACGGAGGTCTGCATCGGGATTTTAGGTAAGTATGTCCTTCCGTGGATCAAAGAACAGTACGGTCCGACGCCAAATGTTGTATTTCAACAAGATGGGGCTCCGTGCCACACCTCGAACCGCACTTAGAGGTGGTTGCAGGAACATCTTCCGTTCTGGGCGAAGGATATGTGGCCGCCATCCAGCCCCGATCTTAATCCACTGGATTACTCAATATGGCGCGTCATGAAGCCCAAGGCCTGTTCTAAACGCCACCCGAGCACAGCAAGCCTCAGACAAACATTGACCCGTACCTGGAGAGAAATGGATCCAGACTACATTATTAGAACCTGCCGTGCATTCCGGAAGCGTGTGGAGGCCGTAATTACAGCAAGTGGAAACTCGATCGATGATTAACATAGTTTAAGACTTTGAGAAATATCCCCCCATCCCCCCATTTATTGAAATAAAAAAAAACTCGAAAACGAAATTTTTGAGAACTTTTTTTTTAATTTTGACATTGCTCAATGGTGCAAAAATTATCACGCGTACGGTAGCTTGCAAGCCCTCGGTTTGACGGATGCGACTTGTTTCGACTTCTTCTGCTTCTTGAACGTTTTCAACCCGATTATTGCCTTGGCACGTTGGACGTTACTCTTCGATGTTCTCAGTTTTTTTTTTTGTTATCAAATCTCGAACAGAGGCACTTTTCTTACTGACGATAGGTTGGGTATCTTATGGTCCACTTTTCGGTCCACCGGTCCCGGTTTGCGGACAGATTTCGATGTGTCCTCGAAAGTAACTTCTTCACCAAACTTCTGGATGGCGATTTCAACTGCTCCGATATTTACTTCCTCCATTTTCACCAACTTCCTTACTGACAGGTTGTGCACGATCTGTTTGCGCTTTTCCGGGAAAATGCCTTGCAATTTGATGTTTTTGTCGAAACAATGCACTTTGTGCACAAAAACTTGTTGAGCAATAAGTAAACAACAACACACATCGATGAACAGCTAATAAACTTCAGTGGGGTAGAAATGGCAGCGAATTGAAATTGTGCTTATAATTTCTGGGACACTCTATATACTCATATTTTATGGAATTTCGAAAAAGTTGCGGATCTCTAGGTCTACTTTCAGGAATTGAATTTCCGCAGAGCCATCTCCAGGGTTTTCCCTTTCCGACTGGCCAATCACAAGTCCAATCGGATCCTTGTCTGTTCCGTTCGAGAGTACCCGCATAAATCACAACCATACGATTACCACATTAAAAATGGTTTATCTTCCTCTGAAAACCATAATGAGAAAGGTTCAGTCAACTTTAATTAAACCATACCTAGATAAAGTTTTGACCATATTGATTAAGGTTTTCGAAGACCCAACCATATGAACAATGGGTGGTTAAGAACGTTCACCATACGAAATCTCGCTTTTTCTCATACATTTTTAGCAAAACAACTATAGCCTTACCACATCAGAAAAGGTTCTAGTTGGATATGTGAAACTATTTCCATTAACTTTCGAATAAGGTAGTACGGTTTAGAACCAACCATTGTTGTTAACTTCATGATATACTATGAAATGGTATAAATTACTATACTTATTGACGTTATAATAAATACTGTCGTAGCTTATCCGGAATACAGCCATCATGGGTTGTTCTTTAATTTTAATGTGATTTACAAGATTTCTTTTTGTGGACACCTCCCTTGCTCTTGGTAACATGTTTATTGATCTAATATAAAATGAATAGATGAATGAATTTGCCCTGCAAAACAAACTCCATTCCATTTCTGGAAGATAAAAAGGCCCCGGCATAACGTACCTGCTTCGATTTCCTTTTTGGATGATGTGAGCCACCAACATCGAAATCTCCTTCACATGTAAACCGCTGTTAGCCCTGAATATTTGTGTAGAAAATGCATGCGCTTTTAAGAAATATTTTATGCTTTAAGCTAATATTACCAAGGGTTTTAAAAATAAAATAACGAACAAAACAACACAATGAACTCACGAGCACCGTTTCAATCAAAAGCGTTTTCTTCTGTTTGTACAAATTGTAAAAACATAAAGCAACCATAATCGAAACACGTAAGCGTTGTACAAGTTGTTTACAACTTTTATTCGTAATGTTTTGTAACAGTTCAGTATAGTTGATCAACCGTAACAAAATTTAGCTAAAACATACCAGAAACTGTAACAGTTGAAAGTAGTGTTTCTTTAATGTTTATTACATTCCATAAACCATAACAAAACTATTTTGTGAAAAGTTAACATAGCTAGTAAGGTGTCAGTGAAGTTTGAACTGTTCTAGAAATGGTATTTTTCTATGCGGGTAGTTAGTCATACATTTCAAATAATGGCTCTTAAAATTTGGTAATTCATAGCTGAAAATGTTTGTTGGGTTTAGTCTGGGTATGGTCCGCCGTTTCGCCATTGAATTATTATTAGCCCAAACCTAGTGTTGGTTGGAAATGCTGTCTAATATGAAGCTTTAGTGTGATAATTTATTAGCTAAAGAATGATAAGGGTAGGTGGATAGTTCCGTTAGAGTACGGCAGTATGAAAATTGAATAGAAGTTGAAAATGAGCGAAGGGCCATTAATGCGACAGTACAAAGTCAAACGCACACCTTTTGCCTAACCCGTACGATGTACGCGGAGATTTGAAGTATGTCTTCATATTAGACACATTTCTAACCAACTCTGAAAATCGCTAACTTCGCGTATGAAGTAACATAAAATCACTTTGAATAAACCTAGAGTTTTTTTGTTCAATTTCCCGCAGTAAACTTAAATTATAGGAGCTTGTTTCAAAACTCCGTACCTAAAATGTTATTGTGATACTGTCTATTCTTAAGCCTGCCTCCATTGTGATTCTTTGCTCATCGATTACTTTGTATATGCAAACCTAATCGCATGTCCAAACATTAATTTGGTTAAATTCGCGTAGAACTAACATCATCTGCACTATCACCGTAGGTAAACATTTTCCTAAATTTGCTTTCATCTGGTGCTGGCTCATCTACTCCCTACCTGTCATCACGACGCATTCCCACTGCAGGAAAGCATAGCACGTCGCTATCCCCGAAGGCCGCTAACAACTCTGGTTAACAATTTTCAATCGAATGCGAAAATCTTTCCCCTCTTTCCCCTATCACCCTTACAGATTGTGGTCCATCTTCCTATTGGTACAAAGATCGCTGCTACAGTACGTGTCCGGACTCGACCTTCCCCTCGGACTCGGACCCCAGCCGAAATCCAAACATCGACGATTCGGAAAGTGCCATCATCGAGCAGCAACCACTGCCGAAAGGTTCATTACGACGCAGTGCTGCAGCTATCGGTTTCCGACTGGCCGACATCAACGGTGATGGTTCCAACAATTTGGACGACGACATTCTGCTACAGGCAGTGCCCTCACCACAAGAACGTGACACTCAACCTCATGATCAGCGGCGCCAGTGCAACCAGTGTCATCCAACGTGCCTCAAGTGCGTCGGTCCGGACGAATTCCACTGCATCGAGTGTCAGCCTTTATTTGCCTTCGTCGACGACAATGATGCCGATGTGCATCCACCGGCTCCCTTCGAGGCACACCGGCGACGTTGCGTTTCCATCAACGGAAAACAACGCCACGGTGGACCGAGCGGAACAAATAAATCCTCGCCTAATGCCACATTATCCGACCCGGCCGATAGCCAAAAGCTTGATAAGAGCTGGCAATCGACCGACTACCTCATTATGATAACCGTCGTCGGAGCGACACTGCTGGTCGCCTTTGTGGTCATCTATCTGCTGTGGAGGCGCTGCTTTCGGGGTATCCTGCTGGGCAATGGCATTGGGGGAGGCGTCGGCGGTGCCGATTACCAGCACTACAATCGGGTGCAAACAGAAGAAGCCAACGTCGGCAATGAACCGTCCTACGCCGAACTGGTACGGGACGAGATTGATGATATTCTGGACGAGAGCTCCAGCGACGAGTCGAGCAATTTCATGCCAACCCGAATCATTGCACCGCTGGAGAGATAGAGGCGACCATGTGGTCATTAACTACTAGGTACTGGTACTGGTCGCAGGCGCTGATTTCATTTCAAACGCTGCGTACCAAATGGTGCCGATCAAATGGGTAGCTGTTTAATTGTGTTTAATAGTCACAGATGAAAATGCGATACAAAAAGGATGAATGAGCGCAATTTTCAACGGAACCAGTGGAACTTTGTATTTTAATCGAGTAGGGTTAGCTAATGAACAAAGTGTTAAGAATAAAGTAGCTACATATTTTATGCTTTTTTTTTCTTCTCGATGAGAAGCTTCTTTGTAGTTGGAACGTATCACAGCAGCACTCAGATCATCCTTAGGAAATTTGTGTTGAACTCGGCGTCCTAAACAGCGTTGCCAGATACATCGATTTATCCGATTTTCGAACTAGATACTAATATACAGATAAGGTTCCTCAGAATACTGATTTTTGGGGTTTTAGGTCCTAACGAACTCAAAGCTCTTTTAAAGGCATTCCGTTTATAGGTTCGACAATTTAGAAGATCGATTTTTTTTAAACAGCAAAAAAGGGTTATCTTCCATTTAATTCCACTTAATTAATTTTGGTATCCATGACAGATACTTAATTTATACCTGTGATATTGACTTTTTTGCCTAGAAGATGAGTACTTAAGAGGGTTAGATTTTGATTTGTTCTCGATGAAATTTCTGCTTTGATCGATTCTCTTAATCAACTCTCTCTTTTCATAACCACTGCTATGCAAACAGATTTCGCGCTAATTCTACCACATAGTTTGATAAAGGAGGTTCTTATCTAGCGCCCAAAATGTCAAATAAAACAGGGACAGTTTTTGCAGCTGATGTTTTTTTGTATGGAAAATACGGTTCGAATGAAAACAAGAATATTAATTAATTTATCTTTATTAGGGAGGCTTTCAGCCTTGGGCTGGTTCGCCTCCATAACAAGAATATGGGTGATTGACGAAAGAGAAAGTCGATAAAGAGAATCGATCAATGCAGATAGGACCTTTTGAAATGTTTATTTCGCTCCACAGTGCTCAAAAGGTTCCAAATCGGGTTCTGATTAGTCTCCCAAAATTTGAACTCATTTGAAAAGAAACTGACTTGGCACAAACCATTTGAAGTTTATATGGAAATTACTATGGGAAATCCAAACTTTTTGTTCATCGTCTTCTTACCTTTTTCCATATTGCACTGTTCAAAAATTCAAAAGCTATACTTATGGAAAATTTTCTCAGCTTCAACTTAGCAGAATATAGTTGTTGAGCCAAACGTCAAATAAAATAGTTATTAATTGTTTAAGAGATTGATAATCTTATGGCATGATCAAGCAGCTGTTTTGTGAGCAACACTGTATCTTGCAGTGTGACAGCCATGATTTTTGTGCTCTATTCCAAGCGCCAGAAACACCAATGTTGCCTGCTGAACAGTTGATTGAGCATAATCGTAAGACATTAGTGGCTTGAATTATTGATAACTTTTGATGCTTACATTATATTGAAAAGTGGTTCAGGACAAAGTTGTAGCTGAGAAAATTTTCTACGAGTTCAGTTATCATTTTTTAAAGCAGAGCGATATGATAAGTTGTTAGATGGATATGAACAAAACATTTGGTTTTCCTATAGTAATTTCCACATAAACTTCAAATGGTTTGTGCCAAGTCAGTTTCTTATCAAATGAGTTCAAATTTTGGGAGACTAATCAGGACCCGATTTGGAACCGTTTGAGCACTGTGGAGCGAAAATGTCAAAATTTGCATCAGTCTACTGCACATTGTAGTCGAAATACGTATCTGTCATGGATACCAAAATTAATTAAGTGGAATTAAATGGAAGATAACCTTTTTTTGCTGTTTTATTTAAGCATTCCGCTAACAACCCAATTTCATTACTTCACGATTTTTTAAATAATCAAAATGTTTATTGCCTGCCTGCGCTCGAATTTGGCAGAAAATTATTGCGCAGACTTGTATCTTTTTGAATATCTCAAATTGTTTGACACTTTAAAAACAAATCATCTTTAAAAATGTCTTATGGATACTCTTTCGATTAATGTCCTCACCGTATTTGGCTTCCCATGAATCGATAAACATTCGATGGTTCTTTCTGGTAATTCCGGGGAATCGGGAAATACTTTTAATCATTATTTAACTTTCTGAATTTTCTTCAAACTTTCTCCTGGAATTTTCTTCCACCTTACATCGTACATTATTTTACGACTCCTCCCGGAAATTTCGGGAAAGTCCAGTGAACTTAAGGAAACATCATAAATATTTTGGATACTTCACAAGTCCAAAGAACTTCTGGAAAATTTATTGGTTTTCAGGACATTTCCATTAGTTTCAGGAGAATTCAGAGAACTTTAGGAAGCTCCGAGAACATCATGACAGATCAATAAATTTCAAGGAAATCGCTGAAATTTTAAAGGAGTTCCGTGAAACACAGGTAATTTCCGAAAACTTCAGCAATACATTGTGAGAGCTTTTAATGGGAAGTCCCGTGCTTTTTATAGGCAGTGTCGTTAACTTTTAAAAATAAGAAAAATCGGGAAGATCAGAGAATTTCAATGCTGATGTTACAATAAATTCAAGAAAATTGTGCGAGCGCTTAAGAAATCTCGTAATCTTAAAGAAAGTCTAGAGACCTTCAAAGTTGATTATTCCGGTAGTCTCATTATAATCAGGGAAGTTCCAAGTATTTCAAAGATGATCAAAGTGCACCTAAACAGCCCAATTAACTTATGAAAAATTACAAGAACTTTTAAGGAATTCCGAGGAAATATGGAATATTCCTAAGTACATTCCAGGAATGTTCCAAAAACTTCAGGGGCGTTGCGGGGTCTTCAGGGATGTTTTATAACCATTTGGAAGATTTTCTGGATCATTAGAACATCCCCCAAGAGCTTCTTTCTTCCGGAATTATGTCCTAGTTTCTTTCGACTGTTCCGTTAGCGCTCTGGCTTCCAACTTCCTCCAGATTTTTTTTTTTTTTTTCAATCTACCTTAGGAAGTTTCTTCAGTTTTCTTCAGGAAGTTCAAATCAACTTCTCCCAGAGATTTCTGTCGTCTAGTTCTGGAATTTTGTCCAGTTGGTTTTTTTTTTACTTCTATTGGAAAGTTTTTGCGAGCTTCTTCTGGCTTCCCCTGGAAATGGCTACTTCTGGAATTTACTTCCGATTTCCGAAACTTTTCTGCCTTCCTTTGAATGTGAAATCCGATTTTTTTTTTCTGAATGAAATTTTTCTTTAAATTTTTGCCAGAAGTTTCTCAGTTCCGCGGATGTTTTTTTCTAACTTCTCTCAGAACTTTCCTCAAATTTCCTCCAGGAGAACTTATTTCTTCTTTCTCTGGATGTTGTTTTCAGCTTCCTCCAGAAGCTAATTCAAACATTCACCGGAGTTTTCTTCCGGAATTTTCCGATCATAGTCCATAAGTTAAAATTTTCGCTTTCAAAAACGGCAAAAATATAAAATTAATTAAAGTAGTAAATACAGATAAACACCGATTTAAACCTTTGATATCGATAAGTTTTAAAACATTCTGGCAACGCTGGTCCTAAGGCTGTGGTTCCATTTGGTGAATTTTTACTTAAATTCGACAGATGGAAAATTTTCAAATAAATCTATTATTCTATCCGACTTATTTCTGACAGACAAGGAATGAATTTTGACAAACATCTTTTTCGAAAATCGGACGATCAACAACAGAGTGATTTTCGAACATAATAATTTATTTTCGAAGTGTCAAATGTAAGTGAAAATGCACCAAATGGAACAAATTTAAGTGAAAATTCCAGGGTGACTCTATCCCTGTCATGTGTCCGAGCCATGATTACTTCGGCAGTAGTCACATAGAGGTAACTCTAAGACCAGAAGGTCCCGAAGAAACGTGCTGAATTTTTTGGCTAAGCTCTGGTACTCTCTTGGGTCCCAAGCTAATCGATGCACCCTTCGAAACATAGGAAAATCAACAAACCCCCCATTTTGTCTGTCAAACTTTCATAGCGAATCAAAACAAACATTGTGTAGTACTAGAATTTCGACTAGAATGGGGTACGTTCATCGATTTGCTTGGGACCAATAGGTAAGTCAAGTAGTGAGCCAATTTTAAATCGTTAGTTTCCACCGGTTGGTACAGTGTAAGTTTGACAGAAAAATGAGGTGTTCGTTGATTTTCCTATGTTTCGAGGGGTGCATCGATTAGCTTGGGATCGAAGATAGCACCAGAGCTGAGCCAAAAAGTTGAGCACGTTTCTTCGGGACCTTCTAGAGTCTTAGAGTTACCTCTATGGTATTATCATTGCCATTCGATGGTATAAGGAGATGAAACTCGGTTCAATTTGTATGGATTTATTTCATTTCACCACGAAAATAATAAATTTGCTCTTTTCATACGGCATTCTTGTCTGTTGATGGACATCCACACATGGTGAAACAAAAAGTTTGTTTTCCATAGAGAAATACCATTAAAGGACTATCCATTTGTTTATGTCGTTTGGCGACACCTACTATTTGCAAGTGGGTACGTGAAACTAAGGTTATCTCTCACCTTGCCGGGGACTTGATATGAGTAGATCTTACTCAAATTTGGGTTGTTTAGAAATAGCCTCCCCTATTCTGCGAGTCACGTGACTCTCTCTCACCGGTGAGGTGACAATAGTCACCTCGTGTGAGGTGACTCTCCATTTGATTTGCATGGAGAGTCACCTCACACGAGGTGACAATTGTCACCTCACCGGTGAGAGAGAGTCACGTGACTCGCAGAATAAGGGGGAGCGTGCAGTCAATCCTCCCGTTAAAATAAACTTCACGGCAAATGAGTCTAACTCATATTTGAGTACCGTCCACTCAAACTCACAAAAGCGTATCACTCGTAAAATGAGTAAATATGAGTAAAGGTCACTCATATTAGAGTGACATTTACTAATATATGAGTGATATTAACTCATATTTGATCTTGTATTTGATTAAAAAATCAATTATTCTTTGAGTGGCGTATACGTGTTTGCAAATTTGAGTGAATGGGATTCAAATATGAGTCAGATTCATTTACCGTGTATCGATCTTCGAAAACAAAATATCAAGAGCAAATTTTCATTATGTCGTAAGTAACATTCGCACCAATCCGACAAAAATAAAGTTTTGTTTTGATGACCGAAAAGTTATTCCTATTTCCAATAAAACACATATAATCTCATAGTGATAGCAATGTTTAACATATTAAGCCGGGTTTTAATCATACAAATG